TCCCCTTCCATGTATGATCTATGAAATTAGAAAAGCAGCGTGGGCGGGGGGGGGGGGAGCCCTATTCGATTAGAATTGATGGAAAGGGACTGAGACAAAGGAATCTATAGATATATCCCTGGAAGAAAAGGAAGTCTAGACAATTAGAAATAGCCTAAGGGTTAGATCTCTGGCATTATCCCACTATTGGGAAGGGATGGGGGGCTGGTAGAGGAAAGGAGATATCCTGGGATGCCAGAGTCTATATTGCCAAGATGGGAGAAAAGAAGCTGCCAGAAGGAAGCCAAAGCATAGAGGCTGCTGACAGCAGAAAAAATGCCTGTAATTTTATAACCAACCTCAGTGCCTCCATTGGGGGCCGTTTTCGTTGGCACTCAGGAGCAATCAGGCTGATGGAGTGATGAGCCTGCCAGAACCAGGCATTGCTGATGGGCAGCAAAGACGGTCAGTGGATGGAAGAGCCGCGGGTCGGTGTAACCGGGAGAGAGGCATGGGTCAAACACAGGCAGCCCTGCGTGACCCAGCTGAGGAGTTGTCTCAGCTGTGCTGAAATTTGGAATCAAAGGACTAGTAGCTGTTAAGTTAGACTCCCCTGTTATAATAAGATTAGGGCTTGGATTTTCAGTAATTTATACCTCTGATCCAGCAAAATAAACAAACCAAATTCCCACAACAGACATGCTTCTATATTGGGATTACAATTCCCAGAGTTCTCATCAATATTTCTCAAATATTCCAGCCCACATATTTCTAGAATCCCATAGCTTAATGTTATTTTGTTCATCCAAGTTTATTTCCCTAGTTGTCCAGCTTTCCCAAGCTGGCTGAGGGCTCCGGGAATTGTAATCCAAACAAATATGGAAGACATCAGGTGCAAAGGGTGGACTAATCCAAAGACCAGCTGAAGAGCATCGTTTTTAGGGAGACTATCCCTCACTCCCCACACTTACCCCTATTAAGCCAGCAACAACCTCCACAGCACCAGTGCCCACTGTGGTGTAAGGGATCTCAGGATCAGGAATGCCAGCATTCTCAAAGATGGCATTTGTGTAAAACCAGATCTGTCAATGAAAAAGCAAAGTCATGAGTGGTCTGATTTGTATTTAATTTTCACAACTTTTGGGAAGTTCATCTTGGGAACAGCTCATCAGAAATAGAAAACTGCTTTATAAGTCCAGCCAGTTTTAACAATTCTATTCAGTTTTGTTAATGCTGCCTTACAGCAGCTCTTCAGGTTTCAGGCAGGAATCTTACAGATTTGTAACAGCCTGGGAACCAAACCTGAGACTTTTGCATGCAAAAAGTATGTTATGCTACTGAGCAATGGTTTTCTTCCCTGATATAATACTGATATCCTGATTATATTTCCTGATATAATATCAATATAATACCAATATCAGGCAGTTAAGGAGCTAAAATGGTGTGGTAATTAAACGACTGGAATATTTCCCTTACAAAGAACAACTGCGATGTTCGGATCTGTTAACTTAGAGACAAGATGGGCTAGGGAGTGCAGGATAAGATGCATGCACATTGTGGAAAATGTGAAGAGAGAAAAGTGCACATAGCTCCTCTCACACATACAATGCTAGAATTCAGGGACATTTACTGAAACTAAATGGGGAAGCTTCACAACAGAAGTACCTCCTCACAGAATTCAATTCCAAACTACTGTATTGAACTATTGCTTAGGGCTATCCTGTCTGAAGTGCAAAATTCCAGATGACCAGTAGATGGCAGGAAAGAGTTATATTTGCAGCCTTGATAGTCCTACTATTGTGGGAAATAGAGCTGAACTACGTGATCTGTTAATCTGATTCCATTGGCCTCTTATGTTCTTATGCAGTATAAACTGCATCTCTAGTCTTTGAATACAAACCACTGGGGCTTAATTAATATAGTCTGGGGCTCTGGCCAACCTTGTCTGGACTTGGAAGCCAAGCAAGGTTAACTCTAGTTAGGATTGGGAAGTTGAAAAATATTCCCAAAATATCCCAATTCACTTCCACACTGTCGCCTAAAAAACTACAAGGGTATCAAGTCACCAAGAGTTGAGTTTCAGTAGAAGAGACCTATCTATGCTTACTAAAAGCTTGTTGTAGGAGCATCACTCTATTTTTGTTATGTATCCAAGTTTCAGAAATAGGAACATTATCCTAGCACCCAAAGTTATTGTGAGAATGATTACTCCAAATTTATTTTAAATGCACAATGTAAAATGCATTAATAACATTGAGCTGAACAAACGTTTCCTGGCTATCTCTCTGAACTTTTGGTGATCAGTGGAGAATGCTTGGGAAGTTGGCAAAAATAGGTGGGAAACTGAGAAAAAGGTTTAAAGAGGGACTGAGGATGGACAGGTCAGAATCTACTTGGCCCTGAAGTTACAGAAGGTAAAAGAGGATTAGCAGCACCACAGTATTGTGCCTGCGCTATAATCCCAAAGATTATGCCCCAGTACACTAGCTCTTACCACATCAATTCCAGAGAGCTGCATACCCATGTTGACCACTGCTACAGACAGTACTTGCCATCGCACAGAACGATCTGACAGTAGACGCCACACAGACACAGATTCCACTGAGGCAAGTGAACGCTTCTCTTCCTCCATCTCTTCAATCATATCCTGCACATTGTGCTTGCCAAGAAACCAGCGTAATGCTGTAGGAAGAGAACAACATGTTAGTCTACACACCAAAGTACTCTAGGATGGGACAAGGAACAATCCAGAGACAGAATGAAACCTCCAAAGTTTTCTGGGCCCAAGTGACAATGTCAAAATAATTTTCAAGGGGTAAGAGGCAAAGGTTGCAACCTTTCATGTTATATCTCTGGTTTGAATGTAATATATAAATGTGCAGATTCATAAATAAAAGATATTGCTCACAAACTGTGAAGCTTTTACAGCTCTTCAACTTGGTGATCTTCAGATGTGAACTTCAACTCTTACAATTCCCAACCAACATGGAAGCTGAAATTATAGGAGTTCAATACATCTGGAAGGCATCACTTGGGAGGTGGGGGCTTGATGGAATTTATTTTATTGTTGAGCCCATCATTTGAGTGTCCTTGAGCTATAAGAATTGGTCAGCTCTGTTATAGAAGATTAGGAAGGAGAATTAGGGGAGAATAACTATAACCACCACACATTTCCTGGTCAAAGGCTGTACTTAAACTTTGAGTGAAAAGCTTGGGGCCAGGAAAGCAACTCAATATGATTTAATTTAATTTACATCATTACTAATTATACACACACACACATGCACACACACATATATCACATTTATAGTAATTAAATATAAATATAAATTATAGTGTAGTAACCATAGAAATATTCTTATCGCTGGGGCCAAATCAAGCAGGCTTTTTGGACTTGCCAAAATGGCTAGTTAATGGCTGCACTAGAATGACCACACTTTTAATGAAACTGTATTTGGCTTTAGTAGAGGAAAAAGTTAATCTACTGTTTAAAAGAAAAAAATACATTACTGTTTGAAATATTGTTGGGCTGTTAAATTAATTCTGTTGCATTTTCAAGTGCTGGGTGTTGTATTAAAGAGATGCAAAGGGAACCTTAATTACTTGAGAGCCAAAATGAGAAAACGAAGCCAAATTATACTACATCTTACTGGCTGGAATCCCTAATATGTCAGTTAAATTAGGACTAGAGAGACAAATTCAGTACTAGTCTCAGACACAGAAGTCCATTAGATTACTCTGAGCCACTCACCTTCTCTCAGCCCAAAGGTGAGAGAACCTCACTGGATTGCTGTTGTGAGGAAAAATTAGAATATTGTTCATGCCAGCTTGAGGAAGAAATGTGGGATATTTATTTATCTATTTCAAAGGGTTCTATGCCACTTCAATCATCCCAACTCTGTGGCTCACAGAAATAATATCAATACTGGTCAGAGAGAAAAAAACAACAAAAACTTTTCTGAAAGACTGGAAACCTTATATGGGCTTTTTGCTGAAAGAAGAAAAAAAATGATATGATGACTTATGGGTTTGAGGATTAAAAAAATAAGTGGATTAAATGAGGGGCTGAAGGGACTTGTATAATATCTGTTGTAGATTGTAATTATCTGTTGAAAAGAAGGTCAGAAATCATATTTCATCATAACTTTAGTTTCTTTCTTTTCTTTAAATTTGTCTTTTACGCAATATAAAATTCTTAATAAATATAAATAAATAAAAAAGAAATAATATCAATACAATATCAGCAACATAATATAACCATAACAATTATATCCATGTAGAAAAATCAATCATAATCAACCTTAACCATTGTCAAAACCCCAGTACTACAAATCATCAGAATCTAACATTCCACCTCAGGTACCTTCTATAATTCCTACCTCAGTCATTAAATGCTCTTTGTAAGAACCTGATTTTCCCAACTTTCCTAAGTATTAGGAGTGAGGGGCAGATGTTTTATTTGGTAGGAAAGAATTCCCAAGGAGGGGAAGACCCACAGAGAAACCCCGCCTCTTGCCACTCTTCTGCAAGCAGGAAAGATCATTACAGCCTTGTAGTCTGTGCCTCCAAAATATTCATGTCCTTGGCTCTATTTGTGAGATGCTAAACACATCTTTGAAACTGGTGAGCCAGGAAGATGCTAGTTAATTGAATTTTACATCACTTTTCTGCAACTTGGCACTCCCCAGAAATGTTGTACTATGACTCCTATCATCCCCAGTCACCACAGCCAGTTAAGGAAGACTGACTTAGCACCTAAGACAATAAAAAACAGGAGATTTTTTTAAGAAAGCACAACCTGACAGTTTTGTTTTATTTTGTTCTGAATGGAAGAATAATGGAGAGGAGATCCAAAGCATCATTTAGTGTTCAAGTGATCAGATGGGTCAATACTTTTTATTCAAGGCAGTACAAACAACAAATTAAAGTACAATGCCAAAACTCATTTCAGTATTTTGAATTTCCTCCATATATTCTTGTTTCGGGGTTATTTATTTCAGTGGATAATATTGACCTAGGAGAGAGAGTTAATGGCAGGGAAGGCAACAAAAGTAATATTCTGTTCCTGGGCTTCTCTGGGTCTTCAGAGGTCTTTCTAAATGCTCTTTAGGTTCTCACCTGGATCTAGTCATGGTAAAGATGAGGCCCAGTATAATCTCTGTCCCGTCTTGACATTACTTGGGGAACAAGTAGCACCATGTGTTCAGCTTACCCTCAGCAGCTCCATGGACATTATTCTTCTCAATAAACAAGTAACGAGGGCTTTCAGGAAACCAATTCAGTAGCAAGAGCTGCAGAAAAGCAGGTACCACCACTACAGAGAGGAAAAGAGGCCAGTAGGCATCCTAGAAAGAGAGGTCCCAACAGATGTGAAGAGTTATCCACATCTTCACTTGTTTACTTATTAGCATTTGCCCCAAGCAAAGAGAACATGCACTGTAGACAGGTTTGGACATCTCAGAGACTTTGCATATGATCAGCTCTCTTTCTATGGCTGCTGTCCTTCATCTTCCTTCATGTTTCTCATGACTGGATGGTCTGACTGGATTACTGGTGGAGTGGATGCATGGCTAGAAATTAGAGTGGACAGAACAGTATACAGGGAATGGTTATTTCTGGTGTGTGAAAAATAATCATCTCAAGCCAAAGTGAGAGACTGTATTTAACATAGGCACATATGCATCACACAAGAAATAAACAGTTTGCTGAGCATAACCATTGGGAAGCAAAGGGCTTTGTGAACTATCTATGGAAGCTCTATATGCTTGGAGAAGCAGGCAGCATGGAAAAGCAGGTTGGGCTTCAAGGAAGCCAAATCCATTTACCTTAACTGAACCAGCAGGAGAACAACTGGGTGACAGAAAGTGATGCTCTTGCCATTTCTTCAGCTTACTTTCTGAACAGCAGGTAGATTGCATTTCTTTTGGTGCCCCGCCCTAACCCATTTCATTCAGGGAGTGAAAATATAGGCATTTACCTCCCCCAGGAGCTCTGGAAGGCCCAGGACTTGGGCAGAAAAGACCCCCAGACAAATGAAGATGCTTGGGACCAGGCCCAGGAATCCACGGAGATTCTTAGGGGCAATTTCTCCCAGGTACATGGGCACCACACTGATACAGATGCCTGACAGAAGGATAGAAAAAAGAAGGAAGATGGTGCATTTCCAACATTTTTATGTCTAGCTGTTATTTTACTTGATGTTTTAATCCCACTGTGTAAGCCACCTGGAGTTACTTGTGACTGAAGTGGCGTTCAAACTGACAAATGAATAAACAAAATAAATAAACAAAAAGTCATATTTGCAATAAAGAGATAAAATAATGTGACACCATAATAATTAGTTCATTATGGCATGACATTTCTTGGGAAAACAGCCTAATTCAGACTGCTTATGAAATGAATCTGCAATCAATTACTTAGGAACAGTTTTCTTTATTGGCAAGAATTCAATTTCTGAATTAAGAAGCTGACATTTTTCTTTTCTTTTCAAGACAAGCTCAACAGGGAACTTCATTTGCAAATGAAATAGCTAGCCCAACCTTCTCCAACCTGCTTTCCTTCAGTTATACTGGCCTACAATGCCCATAATTTCTAGCCAGTATCTCATATGACCTGGGAATTATGGAACCTGCAGTCCAATATATCTGGAGGAGACTAAGCTGCAAAAGGCTGGAGTAAATGCTATTTTGTAATGGTTGCCCGATTCCTGGCTGTCAGAAGGTACAGAGCTCCAAAACCAGTATGTGGGGTGAAGAGGGTAAAAGAGATTATTTTCCATCTAATACTGAGACCTGCACGTTCGTTGCATTTCTGCCTATTGATTTGTCAGTCGTTTATTATTATCCCTATAGAAATCTTCTTTGTGCTATTTAGGACTGCTTTCTCCTAAATGATGATTTTGTTTACTTTCTTAACTAACTTTGCATTTGCACAATGGCATTCCTATACACTATAACTGCTGAGAAATCTGGGGGGGGAGGGGACCAGAGATAGGCTGCATATGTCCCTCTGAATTCTGCAACAGTTTATATGCTTCTGTAAAAATGTTGCAAAAACACGATGGGATTAAAACATCCATAATGCTATAAAAACATTGTAAAAACCCATTCACATATTTGACTTAGCTTTATGGAAACATGAGAAAAAAAGTCTGACTAGCACAGCATATCCTACCAGAATGAATTCCTGTGATGAAGCGTCCCAGAATAACCATTTCAGGGGATCTCATGTAGCGGCTGAATCCCATTAACATGCCAGCCAGCAGAACAAGGAAGTCGCTACGGATCAAAGTGCCATTCCTGGTACGGAAAAGACATAAGTTTTAATTTTTCTCATATTGTTCCCTTCTCCTTCTGTCCCCTGAATGCTCTATTCATTCCCAAAATTGTTTTACCATAACCCCGTTTTCTTCTTTATCCTAAAAGAGATTGGCATTCTCCCTTCTTAATTCCCACGAGGACTGTTTGACTTATCAGACAGAATGAGAAATAAACTGGCCAGTCAAACAATTCACCATATCTCCTTGTAGCTAGTTTGATCGTTCTCATACCAAGAGCTTAAACCAAAAAAGAACAGTTTACTAGAGTATAAATACAGACATTGTTCTTATGACAGCATAGATGATTCAGAGAAAGCTTTAAATTAAATCCAGGGCATGAGCTGAAAGATAAGCAAGAAGGAACAGGTCAGGCTTTTTTCCGTATGTTAAACTGATTATAACTAACCCAATTACGTATTTAATTATTTTCATTATTTAAATTCCACCTTTAACAAAATGAAGTTCTAAGACAACCCAAGGACAGTGAATAAGTTGCTCATTTATCTTGAAAGATAATAAACAGAAAAAGACATTTAAATACTTTAATATACTATAAGCAACTTTTCTCATCCTAGTAACTTCCTTATGTGTTGTTCTATAGTGAACATCATTCACAGGCAGGATAATGGGTACACTATCCACGCAGAATGAAAATTGTAATCCAACATACCTGGGTGGAGTCACCAAGTTAGAAAAAATTGCCCTAGGTGTGGCAGTGAGCATACTATCATGGGTTGATTTCAGGGTCTATCATGTATTGTTGCCAGCTTGCATACTTTCTATGTATAATAGAGAATCCCTACCTTGTCGGCACAGCTCTTACCTCCCATATTGGGTGACCAGCATTCCCACAGGTAATGACCCCACCAAGCCTCCCAAGGCAAAAACTGAGACAGTCAGGGAGTACATAAGTGTGAGTGGTCCTTGAGCCAGGCCCTGCCCATAGCGTTGGTACCATGTTGCATTATAGAAGGCTTTGATGTGCTGTAAAGAGGAAAGGAGAGCTGATAAAGGGAAGATGGCCACAATCCTTGCTCCACATTTGCCATGGTCAGATTTTAACAGTGCCTGAGTCATCCGAAGACCAGTGATGCCTGGAGGAGAGACTATCAATCAAAACACTGAGGCTCTGGGAAAAAAGAAGAGAGCCAGCTCTCTTGCTAAGGTCAGGGAATGGAAAGGGCTCTTCTGCCAGGAGAACAACAATGGGAAATCTAGATTGTTTCTGAACTGCAGCTCCTCCATCAGCCCCAGCCAACATAGTCAGTGGTGAGAAATGTTGGGAATCGTAGCTCAGGGACAACTGGAGGGACAATCTGCTGCACCCCTGCACTGTTTCTGCTTGTTTAGGAGAGGAATAGTGTCAGTTTCCACTGTCTATCCCTGTCTTACCACTGCTGGAGAGTTTACCACAGCCAGATTGTAGCCATACAGCATGGAGGACCCAAATGATGACAGGAGTGTAACAGCAAGAAGTGGAAAGGTGAGATGCTAGGAAAGACAAATAAGAAAAGATCAGATGAGAAAAGGAAATAAATTATATGATTACTCAAAAGTCTAGTGTTATCTTTAAGAGTCATCGTAGATCAGCTTCCTCAAGTCTGATGCCTTTTACATATGATGGCAATACAGTCCCCAGAACTTCCAACCAGCTTGATCATATTGTGCTGATGCTGGAGATGGGAAAGATAGAGGATATTACTCAAGGAAGATCTGTTCAGGCCATTATGATGAACCTGAAATGGCACCAAGTATGTATTTCCTGGGCTGGTTACCTTTGCATCTTCAAGCCTCAAGAATTAAGAAATGAGAATCAGCAGGGAAGGAGGGAACCAGATTTCCCAATATACTTGAGCCTATAGTTGACTATGGAAAACATGGATGATAATTTACAAAATATGCCTTTTTCCCTTTAAGACTGGCATTGGCCAGACCAGGAATAGGGAACCTGTGGCCCTCTAGAAGTTGGCATATCTTTCTCCACTGAGTACACTAGCTGGAATCACTGGGAGTTATAATTCAGCAACATCTGGAAAGCCAGAGGGTCCCTCTTTGTAGTGGCAAAACCCATAGAAGCCAAATAGAAGAAACTATTGTTGATATGCAGGCCTTCTATCTTATGCAAGGCAAAGTAAAGGCTGCAGGAGGGATATCTCTGCAAGTTCCTCTCCCAAAAAATTAAAGGGAGGAACCTTAGACCAATTCAAAGTAATTAAAAATGATGGGATAGCAATTAGGTAGCACAAAATATGGCAGAGGGAGGAATCAATGTTTATTCAGTGATGGAAATTGATCCACAGTGGGGATTAGGCATGCCTCTAGCCAGTCTGTAAATATAACTTTTCCAATGTAGCTAACTCTGATACTGGAATTTGGGACCTAGAGAAAATGGACGCACATTGACTAAATTTTAAATATCATGGCAAAAGATTGTATTGCATATTTAGAACCTGATATTGATCAAATATCTTGGGTAGAGTAAGCAATTACTGTACAACTGATTTAAACATTAAATTTAGCTTTGTTATTTTTAACCAGATGGATTTTCCACTATCACCTGCCATCTTAATTCTGATTTTCAATCACAAAACATTTTGAAAAAAATTCAATCATAAACATACATTATAAAGATGAAACAATAAAAAACCACCAACACACACATCAGCATCCAAGAGAAAAAAGCATAGGCACATCAACAGCATAATTGTGCAATAGTTGTATGCTGCCCAGAGTCACCTTGTGTGAGATGGGTGGCTATATAAATAAATAAATAGGTGGGTTAACTTGTGCTCTTGCGTTATCCTCAGAGTTTTCTGGAAAATCATTTTTCATTTTATGCTGGAAAGGCAATAATGGCAAGCCTGGCAAATGATCTTGGAAAGAACCTTCTACAACAGGGCCTCCATGATTAGAGTTCTCTATCTTATATTCCCACCATTACACTTCAGTGGCCAGAGGACATGGACATGATCCTCAGAATGAAGCTTGAAAAAATAAAAGTCACTACTCTGAATTGGACCAAAAAATAAGGATTAAATAATAGGAATGATGTGTGCTTTCTAGTCAAACTTCTGGTAGTTGTAGGATCAACTGAAGCTAGTGAACTCTCATCAAAGTACATTGTAATAAACTAAACTAGGTGATACTACACCATGAACAATGGTGGCATTGTCTGCGTTGTTCAGGAATGTCCTCAGATGCCATAAAAACCTAAGCTGGTAGAAGGCACTCCTGACTACAGGGACACCCAAGAGTAGCTCCAAACTGTTAGCCAGACTCTTAAAAGCAAAACGCAACTCCATCTAAAATAGGCTGCATGTTGCATCCCAGGTCAGCTGTGATATTTCAATAATGTATATTATTTAACCTTTTGGAAAGAAGGAAAAGACTTATGATAAGAAAAATGGAAGAGGACATCACAAAAGGAAGAAATCCTTAAATACATTTAGCTAGCACAAATACTGGACGAAGAAGGACCAGTTATTAGATAGGGACTCAGTTAGTATTTGTCAGGAAATACAGAGAGAGGTTGGGCTTTGTAACATGTGTTTCATATTGCCCAACTTAACACCACTGAAGTTGCTAAGAATGGTATGAAGGAAACTTTATCTAAAGCAACCCACTAGCAGCTGGAGTGGACTTCTCCAGTGAAAGCTGTTTTGGAAAGAAAACTTAATGTTTTTCTGGATGGAAACCGCACATGTATACAAGAAGGGTGGGGATATTGTAAAGGGAGGCATTAACTAAGGACTGACTGATTGTAGGTACAGGAGCATGCAATACAGTCCAAGAGAGAGGATGAGTACAAGAAGAGAAAGGAGTAAGGTGAGGCTAGAAAGGAAAATGATTTCATCTTATCTTCCCTAGCCTCCTGAAGTTTTGACTTACAGTTTTTGGCTTGCCCAATATGTCAACCCACTAAATCATTACCATGTGCGTCCACATCTGCTCTACCACCCCAAGATTACATTAGGTTCCGTTATGAGCAGCATGTTTGTGTTCTGCACAACACAACAATGTGGAAACCATTGAACCTGGCCCAGGATGAGTACACAGTGACAGACAGGTAATTGGAGCTATGGCTAATCAACATTCCAGGCTAAATGGAACTTATATCTAAAATGAAATTAGTACAGCCTTTACTTTCTCCACGGTTTCCTGTTTTATCCCTCTAGATTGGCTTAAGAACTCTTGGAAGTAATAATGCATTTAACCTTGAGCTCTTAAAGTATGGTAGTTCTGCTAAATTTGGGAAAGAAAAGGTCTCACCGTCACTCATTGGCTTAAGGCAATTATTAATCAGCAAGATATACAAATTAAAAACAAACTTACCTCCCAATGAGTGAAAGGAAATAAATGGGTGATGAATTTAGAACAGGGATGAATGATTTTCACTGAAACTCATTTCAATCAACCATTCAGCCAACTGCATGCAATGTGATTGGAAAAATCCCAAGGTTAGGGCATTATTTCTCAAAAGACCTAGTTAGCACCAATACAAATACAAATTGTTATTTCAGAAAAAGGGGCAACTGCAATTGGAAAAATCTTAAATGTTCAAATCTAAAAATATTAATTCCTCTCTCCCTCCCCCCACGCATTTTGGTTTCAAGTTTCTCAAGCTATGCCTAGGAGAAGTGGAAACTCATTCCACACAATCCAGAACACAGAGTAGCTGGGAATATAGCCTTGGCCTGGATCCTTACAAGGGGTGTAATTAAAGTTCCAGGTGACCACTTGAAGAATGCTAGATCATCAGACCACTCCTCTTTGAAAGAAAAAACTTTGAGCCTGTGGCAAATGGAAGACTAAAAAAAAAAATCACTTACCCCTGTAATCTTTCTTTGGAAGGCAGAAGGGGAGTTGTTGTCCATTTGTGAAAGAAATTTCTGCATCTTATGACTTGATAATATGATACAAGCTTGGGAAAAAGAAGGGGAATAGCCTGGTTGTGGGCTGCTGGATCATTTCAATAAGTCATGAACAGAACTTTTCAGGAGAAAAGGAAAAATTACAACCCCCCCCTCCCCCAAAAAGTAATACGATGCTCTAAAAAAGCTTGTAGCCAAAGAGTGTGAACTCCCAGGCTCTGCCAAATGACAAATGGGAAGGAAAAGCTATTGACACTGGGGCCAAACTAGTAAAGGATGGGTATAGGAGAAAAGATGCAAGAAGCGAAAGAAAAGTTCTCCGTTAGATAAGTTAGTAGAAAGAAGACACAATCACATGATAGACAAAGTGAATCTCATTAGATATTTGGCACTGCCCAGCCCAGAGCACAATTAACTATCTCTGTACTTGGATGATAGCTGGTGCAAGGAGAAGGGTGCGTTGCCAGCATTGAAGGCTTTTAAAAAAAAGACACTGTACTCACAAGTATCAGACTCATGTTCTAATCAGTCAAGCTTGATTAAAGGCCACAGGAAGCTCTGTCCAGTCTGATCTAAACAATGTTGCCGTGGTCTTTGTTACCATTCCTTGGAGTCTGAGCATGTTTCTTGACCTGTTTCATTTGTGTATGATATATACAAACACAGTGGTATGCATGCATACAATGGTATATACACACACAGCAGTATGTACAAACACAACAACATCACAGCCAAATTTGAATGAGGAAAATGGGGATGAAATAAGCCACTCAGTTTATTCCTTAATTTTGGATTATTCCGCTTTGGACTATACCACCCCATAGCTCTCCAGACCAAAGATGAGCAACCTGCAATCCCAAAGTCACAGGGAGTCTTCAAATTCCTTCTGGGAGTTTTTTTTTTATCAACTACAACTACTGAAGTTTTTCCTTAATTTGAAGCAGGAAATTTAAGAAAACTTCAGGATAAACACTAAAAGAAGGTTAAAAAAACAAAAACAAAAACTAGTAACAGTCCTCCCAAAACCAAGAACAAAGGCAAATCTCACTTCCAGATACATGTGATGCAGCCTCCCCACTTTGCACCCCTGACTCATTGCTTCTCTTGGATGGAGATATCATTTGTGAGCTTCAAAAATGTAGATGCCCAGTACAGGGCACCAAAAATTCTGCTTTCGCTTCTGCTTTAGGGCCTTAAACATGCCAGTTTTATCAAGAATGTATTTTGTCAAGAAACTGGAAGATTCTGAAGAAGCCTGAGGCAGCCTTATACCAGCCTGAGTAAAGGCTGGGAACAGTGTTTTGAAATTTGTTCCCTCTCATTCTGTTTATCTGAATGATCCCTTGCTACCTTAAATCCTCTGACAGAGATTATCTACTGTAATACTGAGTGTGGGGGAAGTCTATTAATCTCCAATGGCTTAAATTGAGGCAGTTTTCCCCAACTAGTGTCCTTCAGATATGTTAGGACTTTTAGCTTCCAGAAAATATAGACAGCAGATCTGATGCATCTGGGAGCACAGGACTAGAAAAGAGGTATTTTGGCTCCAAATGTTAAAGAACCTCTTCCCTCTGGCCCTTCCTCAAAGGCGATAGTGCCCTGTAGCTGCTGGCATCTCTTTGTATCGCTCCCTCTCTACTCCTACTCTCTACTCTACTCATGTCACATTCAGAATTCTTCCCCATATGGCTCTTAATATACTTTCCTCCCATCCTATATTGCTTGGGAAAGTGCTGCCCCCGTAGCATTCCTCTTGCTGGCTGAGGGGCAGTGGGTCACTGCTACTGCTGTTGGAGGGGTGAGGAGCAGGAAAGGAATTCTTTTACTTCTCTGCTGCCTGCTCCAACTGCAGGGGGCCATCATAGTAGCAGCAGGCCACTGCTGCACCTGGGCCAAACATGGATCCTTCTAAGGGTGGTTGGTAGCTGTGGCTGCAGCTGTCAGGAGCAGCAGTCCTGCTCTCTAGAAAGCATGGAGGTAGGGAAAGGAGCAGAGAAGGGGAAGCAGCTGTGCTTGGTGGGAATAGGAGAGAGAAGCAGGCAGCCAAAGCAGGTAGGAGAGGAATGAGATGAGGTGGGCAAGTGAGGCCGCTATAGTGGGCTGTGTGGGGAATACTAGAAGGTGGAGGGCGTTCAAAAAGGTTGATATTCTCCTATTCCTAGAAATAAAGTTTGGTTCCCAGGGAGATCTTGGTCTTTCCAGGAGCTAAAGGTGAAATGGACATGGAGTCCTGGAGCCCCATGGCTGAATGGAAGGGGACAGTCCTACAATGGGTGGCCTCCTCCATATGACCTAGAATGTTTGCATAGACTTGTTCCATTTTCCAGTGGAAACACAAATTTCTTGCAAGATCGTCTTGGCTGGGACTAAGATAGAGGCTCTGCTGTGAGATAGAGATGTTCGTATCTCAGTATTGGGATAAGGGAGGTCTGTAGATGACCCCTAAAAGTTTTAACAACTATTGAATGTCTTTGACAGTCATACTCAAAGCATTTGCTAACCACGTGGCCTGGGGGCCTCAGATTCTGCTCCTCTTCCATAAGAACCCTCAGCTTGTTGTTTGCATTTACACATTATACAACACAACTCTTGACTTCCAATTTTCTGGTATTTTAAACAGTATTTCCTGCAGGGTGTGTCATTCTGAGTTTAAGCAGCAGCGTGAGTTGCTAGTTTCAAAGAAAATTGCTTCCCACTTACTGCTTTATATAAAATAAAATTCTTTAGTTTCTTTAATACTACTTACTTGAAAACATCCGAACAGATTTTGAAACTGATTCAGGAATCATGTGACAGTGACCAATGATTCCAGAATTAGTGTTTCCATTTTGGAAGAACAGAAAAAATATAGAAGTAAACAACTTTGCCTAGTTAGGAAGGATTTGGGTTGGCAAAGAAAAGTTTTAAAAATGGTGTGATAGAAGCCCTGAGCACCATTCATTTTGAAGTTCAAGATAGAGGCTTCTTTTTGTAGGAAGCTTTGGTTGGGTCAATCCAGTGTTTCTCAACCTTAGCAACTTTAAGATATGTGAAGTCCACATATCTTAAAGTTGCTAAGGTTGAGAAACACTGGGCCAGTCACTTAACTTCATGAAGCAGGAAGACTGACAACTTTCAGCAGTGAAATATTGCTGTTTTCTCCTCTTTCCCAGTCCAGAGATTCTTCATTCTGCTCATGAGAGAATCGCTTCATACTGTATTCTTACAGGGAGTGGAGGGAGTTTTTGCAGAAAGTGGTAATTCTACTAAGGTAATATATTGCTTGCTGGCAACCGGCAGCTCCTCCAGCTGTTATAGCTGTCTGGTATATCAAATGGGAGGCAAGGGGTCAGAAGCTGTCCTGCTTCTCTTCAGTCCCAGAATAATTGCAACTGCATGCAGAAGTTTAGGTACTCCTGGCCATGTTTAACTTCGTACCATATTGAGGTTCTGCCACCTTCTGTTCCTTAGGGATTCATTAGGATATACAATTTCACCAGTGGTGTCTAAACTTCTAACAGTACTTCAGTATTAATGCTGAGGAATAGACTCTATAAAACAGCCTTCCTAACTTGGGTGGTAACCTCCAGTTGTGCTGGACTTCAACTTCCCCCATCCTTAGCCCAGTATACAGTACATCTGAGTGAGTTGGAGAACTCCAGCTTGAACAAGGCTATTGTAAATTTAAGAATAATGGCTGGGAGAGGGAAGAGACACATTTACCTGGTTCAGGCATTGCACAAAGTGATTTGCTTCTTTATGGCTTAATGTGAATTCAGCTACTGTAGTTAATAAACTATGGTTTATGGTTTAATGTGTCCAATTGTGCCTCATTAACTGATGAATAATCAAGTTATGGCTTATCATGTGTGAATCTCTTCAGTGATTTCTCAAATTAACCACCAGGAATAATATTGCACTAATAAAGTGACCCTATCTGCCCCAGTCACCCACATACAGTATATTCTGTTCTAATCTCAACATGTGAAAAAGAGAACATAGTCTCCAATATATAGATACCAGTGTGAAGAGGTTCCCTGCCTGATAATCTGCCCAGCTATGACAGAATATTATGTATGAGAATGATGGGTGATTGATCATATGACAGATTCCTCTGCATTCTGGAAATTCCTAAGTCTAACTGAAATTATCCATTTCTAATCTTTATACTTTTTCTACTTTCCAGTCAACTACCTGACTCTGCCCCAACTTTTCCTACAGTGAATTAAGTTATAAATTTTCAGAGTTTTCAAGGATTTTGTTTCTGAACATAAATATGGTAGGAACAATTAATTTTACATACTGAAGACTCTGCTACTGTGGAGATTTGTCTTCAGGATCCTTAAAGTAGTCTCCATCATGCTCTTTACTACTTCAGGAAAATCCTGAAGAAAAACAAAATAGTATACTGGAACTTCAGCATGGAAGGCAGTTAAACTAACATGATGTAATGAGGTGTGATACAAAATGGAAGAAAAGGTTTATGGGGGTGGGTGATAATAACTGTGATTCAGAAGGATGACCCTCCCTCCCTCCCTCCCTCTGAATCAGTCTTGACTCCTGGTGACTGGCAACATTTTCAGAAGTGGGTTGCCATTGTCTTCCGATATTTGTGGAAATGGGGCACATTTAGGCTACCTGTTACACAGGTTTTGTTATAATCACATTGGGCATCAAATGAATTTCCTCTTTATTAAAAATCTTCAAAGTTCCCTTCCAGTAGACCAAATAGCTGCTAGAAGAGCATATTTTCAAGTTGCAAAGTAGATCAACTCAAGACAAAAATGAATTGGGAAAATAAAAGCAAAAACAAAAATCCATCTTCCTTCCTTCCTTCCTTCCTTCCT